TATTTTATTTAGAAAAAAGTTTCGAAGAAATTCTTTAAACCCTTATTTTTTTTTATGTTACCTCCCACACTACAATGTAAAACATCTTGAAACCCCTTTGAATGAAGGAAAAGTGGCATAACCCCCAAAATTCTTATCCTAATCGTTATTTATATTCATTCATAATCTGTGAAATTTTTAAAAAAAATTACATGATAAATTTACCAGTCGTATTTTCCTCGTTTGAAAATTATATTCATTATTTGTGAAATGTCAGCCCCTTTCCATGGTTTATTTTCGAGTTAAAACAGGTGGTCTTCACAGTTATCGCGAAAAATGTTTTTATTTTTTAATCGAAAAAGGCAATCCTGAACCAGTATATTACTTTTAATGCATTTTTCAACAATGAAGTATTATTGAAAAGGGTACATTTACGTAATATAGTTATGCAATACATTTATGGTAATATAGCTATCACCATTTTTTTCTTCTTTTTTTTTTTGTCTGTTGCCAAATCCAAATTCTTGCATTGGTATGTTTTTTTATTTTATTTATTATTATTTTTAGCCAGCGCTAAACAAGTGACCTAATTCCGAATTTTCAACTATCAATTTCAACTCCAACCCTCGTAATTTCGCACACCACCCAGAACACAAGGGGAATTACTAAATCAAGTGTTGGGAGGAACTACCCTTAATGAAGGACTCTTTGATTGAACTTAACCGCATTTACACTACATGAAAAGAAAAACCACGAAAATCTCCCACTGTTAGGATTCTAACCCATGAACCGCTTACCTCTGAGAATATTTTACGTCAGCACTGAGGTCGGTACAAGCAGGGAGAATTCTTTATCAACCAGCCACCCCCTGGGATTCGAATCTGGTGTCTCCTCATTGGGCGGCGAACGTTCTATAACCTGAGTCACCGCGACCACTACATTGCTATGTTAGTTTGTTCTAGCATTTGTTTTAACTTTAATACTTGTTTATTTGTTAATACACAAGTATTTTTGTGCGCTAACGATAAAACCTCGCGTTCATTTTGGGCGAGACAAGGATCGTTTTATAACCGTTTCGTATCAAGGATCGTATTATATATAAAAGTATGTTTTATATTCTTTTTACAAAATAATTTTTTTTCATTACATTATTTTTTAACACTTTTAAATTATTCAAACGTTTTTTTATTAGAAATGCGTTTGAATAATGCGGATATGCAACTTTTAAATTAAATTTTAACTCAAAATGTTTATTTTGAAGTAATATTTTAGAGTTATATTTGTGCATGTTCAAAGCTGGGATAAAAATTCGATTTGTCATTTTCTAATTAAATAAAATGAAATGTTTTTCATTCGCTCTATATATATTTCGAATTGTTTATTCCTGTAAGTACTAATAGTTTTCTCTTTGTAGATAGCAAAACAATATTCCCTTTAAAAATATTTATCTTTGTTTAGAGCCGTTCAAGAGATTGTGTTAACAATGCAATTTCAAACGAGGAAAAAGTTTCCTGCACTAAAAATAAATCAGTTTCTTCAGGGCGATATTTTTTTCCCATTGAAGATGATCCATATCATTCTGTTTACATCATTCTACATTATGGTAATTTAATATTTTAGATCGACTTTTATAATTGGTTTGGATGGAAATTAATATACCATTCTTATTTATATTCAAGCAGTGGCCGGTTTGAAAAGACTTTTGAAAAGATTTAAAAAAAATTCATACCTTATTAAAATTAATGACTGAAAAGAAAATGAGAAAAATGTAAGGTATAAACAGTTCTTCATAAAATAAGTTTTTTTATTTTTCTCTAAAAAGAGGAAACAAAGGATATTACTGGAAAAAGGTTATCAAAGAATGTAATTGCCGTTCCTCAGATGTGAGTAAAAAAATAAAACACATTTCTAAAAAAATAGAGTGCAGACCAGTAAAAAGCGTTTAATAAATTTTACTCTTCTTAAAAGAGCTAGAAAAAAATGTTTTCATTTCCCTTTAATACTGATTTGAAGAATTATCCTTTTCATACTCCTTCATTTTTGTACGTTCAGAAATTATTATTTAATTTTTTTGGAAGACCTAATCATTTTGGTTTTCAATATCAATTATTGAAGACAATTTTCTGTAAATAGGTTGAAAATTTTTTTTTATAACTAATTTAAAATTCATATTTCTGCATAAATGTTTTAATCCTTAATTAAAAAGATAAAAAAACAAATTAAACTCACGTAGTTTAAAAAAATAATTATTTCTTCGGGTAATAGTAATAACTGTCACCGTGAAGAACTGTGGTTCGATTCACTGAGCTGGCAACTTTCTACGCTTTATTTTAAAAAAAATTCTAGTGGTAGCTATTTATATGTTTTAATTTATTATTTTTCATTCATTTAAACTTTTTGTCCACGCCACTAAGTATAAATGATTTAAAAGTTCATCTGTAATGCCACTTAGTTGGCAAAATTTCCAAAAATTCTGAAAGCTTTGGGTTTCACAGGGGTACTGGGGAGGCTTCCTACTCTTTTAAGAAAGCAAAAATTAAGAACCTAAAAAATAGTCTTTTCTTCTTTTTTTATCTAACATATATATACCACCAGTGATTGAGCCAATTATTTACCTTTCTTAAGAAAAATATATATATATAAAAAAAAAAGTAACCAAAACAATTTTATTACAGTAGTACTGATATAACTGTATAAATTAACTGAGTTCGCCAAAGTAGAGTCAAGAAATTTTTGCAAACCCGGTTTTTTTTTTTTTTTTTTTTAAGTAGAGATGGGGTTTCACCATATTGGCCAGGCTGGTCTCGAACTCCTGACGTTTTGANTAATCTGTATTCCATTTTTAATGATTTCATTGAAATTGAATTGTAAAATTAAGTGCACAAATTAAGATTTTGTATTTTTTTCATTATTCTTAAATAAGAAATCATGAGCATTTTGCTTCCCTCTGATGTGGGAGAAGGGCATCATTTGAATATAATTCTGCAGAAAAAAACAAAACAAAAAAAACCCTTTTTTCCCTAAGGAGGAATCTTTTTTGAAAAACTCTTTAATAATCTGTGACAATGTCACCACAATTTTTCCATGGGGGTCTCATTCTATGTAATAAAAGAAATACTTTTTTTAAAAATAGGTTTTGTAAGACAAAAAAAAAAAAAATAGTTCTTATCAAGTATGGTGATGCTGATAAAATTAAGAGCTTTTAAAAACCTTGTACTAAAATTAAGTACTTTTAAGGGCCTTTATTTTCCAAAATAAAAATTAAGCAGTTTTTAAGGACTTCTAAGAACCGTGGGAACCCTGTTTCAAATGTCTACCACTCTATAAAATATTTTGCAAAAAGCGGAGTAGTTGGCAGGTTTTTTTGGGAAGTAAAGACGTTCTGCAGGTAATGCTGACCACATTGCCAAAATTATGCCGTTAGTCACAAAATAGGAAGCCCTAATCTCCATGATCTTTGCCAATGATACGCTTTACTTTTTATTTTCATCATTTNAAGAAATCATGAGCATTTTGTTTCCCTCTGATGTGGGAGAAGGGCATCTTTTGAATATAATTCTGCAGAAAAAAAAAAAAGAAAAAATACTTGCTCAGNAAAAAGCCTTTTTTCCCTAAGGAGGAATCTTTTTCGAAAAACTCTTTAATAATCTGTGACAATGTCGCCACAATTTTGCCATGGGGGTCTCATTCTATGTAACAAAAGAAATACTTTTTTTAAAAATAGGTTTTGTAAGAAAAAAAAAATAGTTCTTATCAAGTATGGTGATGCTGATAAAATTAAGAACTTTTAAAAACCTTGTACTAAAATTAAGTACTTTTAAGGGCCCTTATTTTCCAAAATAAAAATTAAGCAGTTTTTAAGGACTTCTAAGAACCGTGGGAACCCTGTTTCAAATGTCTACCACTCTATAAAATATTTTGCAAAAAGCGGAGTAGTTGGCAGGTTTTTTTGGGAAGTAAAGACGTTCTGCAGGTAATGCTGACCACATTGCCAAAATTATGCCGTTAGTCACAAAATAGGAAGCCCTAATCTCCATGATCTTTGCCAATGATACGCTTTACTTTTTATTTTCATCATTTATCTTATTTTCAGCCACTTATGTTAATGGGAGTACAAATTCTAGCCAAGGCATTCTGGGAAATTGTGAAAACGTTTAAATGCAGGCAGTTTTTGCATTTGCCAGAGCTAATATTGGAGTAATTTTATTATTGTAATCTAAAAGGTTTTTTATTGAATGCTAAATTTGTATTTTGTGATTACATTAAATGACAAGTTTTTAGCTAAATTTACTAGATAGATATGCTAGTTTTATTAGCTTTAGTGCAAACATTTAATAATATATTTGAAGTTGAGTTAGGCCAAATGAAAATTTATTACAAGTAATTATAATTTACGATTACAATTAAGATAGACATAAAACCTATCATCAACCCAATTACACATAACGAATTATTAAATTTACATTAGATATGACACTAATAATGATATAAATATTCTATTTTGAATACATGTAGGCTATTATTAACCCCAATAATAACATGCAACATTGATTACCCAACTCAGATTAGAGAAACAAAATAAAATGAAAGAATTTCTAGTAAGACTCTTCTAAAGTTTAAGTATTTTTCATAAAATGTGCTAAAATTAGCTCCAACTAACAGACAATTTTAATAAATAATTTGTAAATCAAAAAGCAACTTCATGTTTTATTATACTTAGGTTATTTATTAAGAGGAGAAAAATAATATTTTCAAGGAAATGGCTCTAAATTTAAAGCTGATACTGAAAAAAATGGATTTTAAAGTATTTTTGTTGACAAAAAAAATTACACAATAATTCTTTTTGAGCAGTAAGTCATTCAACAACGAATTCTATACTGTAAAATTTGAATATTGATTTTTACACATTTTTATTCAAAATGTTTAGGCGGAATTTATAATTTAACACTTGAAAATTCGATCAATAGCAGATATAAATTTTAATTAAATATTAAACAAGAGTGAAAAGAATAACAATAAACTACAGCTAAAATTCCTTTATTTACACAACTACAATCCTGTAAAGAACGTGACAGTATAGTAAAATAGATGTACCATATTTTTCAAAGCTTTTTCTTGTACTAAAAGATTCACTGAAACTAAGAACAGGAACTTCAAATCACAGTCACTTAATTTACAGACATTTATGAACATAAGATTAAATTTTTAGTAATTATTATCCATAAAATTACAATAAAGGTTGCAATGATATTTTAAATAAATTTTTTCTTCCCCAAAAAGACATAAAATTATAAGATATTTATGAAAAATAGTTTAAGACATTTAATTTTCTACTTTTAAAATTATATTTTTTCATATGAGAAGAAAATTGGATTGGATCATACACTTAAAACATAAATAAATACATATTTACACACTAACAAAATATAATTAAAAAAATACTTTTTTAATTAACCTAAAAATTTAACAATAGAGAAGATTTGCAATTTTGTACAAAAATGCTGATTATCTCAAATATCACAGTATCCTTTCAAACACTATAGCTATTCAAAGAAAAATATAACCATACAATATATTTCTTTAAGAGAAAAACAGTGCCATAATCAAAGAAATTATTAAAGATGGAAAAAATAGTTTAAATACTTAACGCACTTCAAAAATTTCTAAAATAAAGTTAAAACTTATAGATAGACAAAATTGCATTTTTTGGACTAAAAGCTTAATGAATAGAACCGTAACATATATTAAAGAATTTAAATTATGTTCCATGTTGAAATAGAAACAAACCATTATTAAATGATTATAAATATTTAAACTGTATTTTAGAAGATATGTATAATGGAAATATGCAATTATGAATCATATTTGTAATATTGTACAGATGAACATGAATGCAAAAATAACTTATTTACAAATTCAAACTTTTAGTACTCAATTGCAAGCAGATTTAAAATTTCAGAGAAAAACGTAGACAATTTAAATAGAAGTTTAATACAATATTTTACTTTTTATTTACATTTAATTACAATATTGCTTTTCTTTACACTTGGCTGAACTTCAAACCAGCTGTAATAAAATTAAAATAGTTCAATTAAATTTATAGATTTAGTGTAATAAACATTTTAAATTATACAGCTTTTAAGAAAAACAAATTGTTTTTAACGAAAATTAACTAATATTAGTTGAACCATAAAACAAGGTTAGTGAAATTGAAGCAATGGATGGTTAACCGCATAAAGCTAAGCACAGGTGGTTAAAATTTAAAATAAAATTTCCCGTTATACTTCCGATTTATTTTCACCTCTAAGATTAAAAACATGGCATCCTATATTAATGTACTCCTAATGTCGAACATATGACTTGTGCTATATATCAATATTTTTGTAAATCCATTTCACTTAATAAATAACTGAATACTCAAAATATGCCAACTTTTATCCTTTAATTATATCATGATTTAATTTCCATAAATCAATTTAAGGCTATTGATTTTATAGAGTTTATAAAATACAAAAACAGAAAGAAAACTTATGAGTAGAAAAATTACAGGTTAATGTAAATACAATTTTAAAAACAAAATGTCCCTATCAATTCTCTACATCCATTATCTCATAAACATAACATAGGGAAGGATACGCCAGTAGATTAAGAGTTCCATTTCAGTTATAGAATTCGGTTATTCTTTACACTCAGTTAACCATCTGCAAAGCTTACTTTTGTAAGTAGTAGCACATTTTAAAATATACTTCGCTCAAAAAAGAGTTTTGGGTTAACTTTAACTATTTATTTGGGCAAACTGCTAGAAAAGAAAAAATAAGAGGAGTTAACTTATCCTCCTCTAAGATAGAGTAATCTGTGTGACAGAGATAATGCCAGAGGAAAAGAATTAGAATTATTTGCCCCCTGTACAAAACAGAATAAGTATAATCACAAAAAATACAGAGGGATAATCTTATTAAATACAATATATAAAATATTTTCAAGTTTATTAATAAAAACTTGTAGAACCATCTATGCGTGAATATCAACATGGATTTAAACAAAATATAGGAATAGTGGATCAGCTTTTTTAGTTACACAGATGATGAAAAAGTTTTATGAATATGATACTGATTCATACTTGCTTTTTATAGACTTCAAGCAAGCATTTGCCATACCTTCAAAACTTATAAAGGTGAAAGAACTGGAGATGCATTTGAGTTTAACAAAGGTATTAAGCAAGGTAATTTGCTATTAGCTGCATTGTTCAATATAGCCTTGCATTTGGTGATCACATCAATCAACCAATGAGGAAATATATTCACTAAGTCGACACAAATCTGGGCATACTGATAATATAATAATTAATGCAAAGAACAAAAAAATAGACAACTGATAAAAGAGTTTATAGAAAAAGCAAATGAAATAAGGCTTAGAGATTAATGAAACCAAAATAAAATTCCTGATTATGTCATAGTCTGGAGAAAAAATAATTGACTATTAAAAAGTAAAATGCAAATATATAAAACGTTAATAAGGTTGATTCTAACACATGGATCTGAAACCTGGGTTTTATACGATGGTGAAAATGTATTAAGAAATGTCGATTGTAGAATAATTTATGGAGAGCTTAATAATTATAACTCTTGGAGAAAAAGATCCAACCATTATAAGATTTATCCAAGCACATACAAAAAAAGAATAGAGTGGATAGGACATGCCTAAGAAAATCATGAAAGAAAAATTTAATAACAAAAAGAAAAGATCAAGACCAAAAAAAATACAAAAAAACTAGAAAAAGAAATCTGGGGAGAGAGAGAGATGTGGAATTTTATTTTGTTGAGAAAGCTAAAGCTCACTAAGGGCTGTAGAGATTGAAAAGAAGATAGGGTGCCTTAATAAAATTTACATGCATAACTATGCATGCTTGGGATGTTCTGTTAAGTTGAGGTTGAAAAAATATATTTCTTAATTTATTAAAAATGTCAATTTATAGACAATTTCCAAAGACTAGTACCAACAGAATTTGAGTAAAAGTAGTCTAAAACTAATTATTATAAATATATATATAGAGAGAGAGAGATTAAACAAAATATTTACAAAACATTAAAACAGAAAAAATGTGGGTATCTTTTTAAGGGCAATAAGGGAAAAAGAAGCCTGATATAAACTTGCAAACTTATTGTATAGCTACTGATTATAGACAACTTAAAATTTTGATTTATCTTTAAATAAATCATTGAATTATGACAGATACAAAGATAAAAGTTTTGAGATAACTAACATATTTTTTAGGTTTTATTGAAATGCTGTAGTAATAGCAAGAAAACTTTTTTATGCCATCTTCAAACTATATATAATAATAATTGACTTTTAATAGTTTAAAATTACCTTCATCATTGCTGTAACAATTGTGACAGTGAAGCTTATTATTTCTAACTCTAACATCTGTTCCACAGGATCCATTCCCCAGTTGAGCTTGGCAAACACAGCATTGGAAACAATGGATATGATAATACAATTGAAGGGATTCTATGATCATGGCAGCCCCTCTACCTACAATATTCCAAGGATAAAATTATTTTGACTCAAAACACCCACTTATGGTATTTCATAATCACTGCCCTTTAGAAAACTTGAAATTTAAGTGAAGTAAAATAAAAATAAAAACTATCAAAATTTGAATAAATTATTGACATCTATCACAGTGAAGGTGAAATTAAAAATAAATTGATTTATTTAATTATAATGGAAGTTCAAATGCTATTTTGTAGCTTTTTCAACAAACTTTTTAGATATATATTATGGGTGATTATAATGGAACACTGTGTAGCACCAAAATTTCCTATTTTTCTCAGATTACCTTCATATTAAATTTTATAAAAATCTTTATGAAGCATAGTGCTCAACTTGAACATTAATTATTACCAAAGGCTTTTAGAATTCATCAGTTCAATGTTAGTAGTACAAAAAATCACATAATTAAAATTTTTTTATTGCATTAAAATTATTAAGATTTTTATTAAACAATTAAACACACTTTTTACAAGCTTTATTTTAACTAAATGCAGCAGCTAATTTAATTTTTTGAACAGAACCTCAAAAAATTTTAGAGCCTCATAATGAATTAATGAAAACATCAGAAAAAATATGCAAAGTAACATTGTAGGGGATGAACTGTATAACATATTGAAGCAACAGGAAACTGCTTACAAATCATATTTTTCTAAAGTTCCGACTTTTGAGAAATAGAGCATCCGTTTATTCTACCAGGTTTACCGGAGACTGAGATTATTTCTACGATCATAAGACATTAAAGAAAGTTTTGAATTACTTTTAGGAAAATTCATTGTAATTCTATAGAATAAACAAATAACTGGTAAAATTTCAGAGCACTTTGACATTATAGCAAAGTTTCACTAATTTTAAAATTGACTAGAATAACTAAAATCACTTTCAAAGCTATAGGATATTTCTTTCTTTTCATCATCAAAAAAAAATTTTAAAAAATTATGACAAATGTTGTTTTATTAAGATAAGTAGCTAACAATTTCCAAATCAGAAGTTATTATGGAGAAATCATCAGAGGAAGGCTTTAGCCCACATTAGGCTGTCTGTCCAACTATGATGATGATGAGCTAACAATTTCCCTACATTATATATAAGATTTTCTCAAATGACTGACGATTGGAAAAATCGATCCAGAATCGAAAGAAAAAAGAAACATGCAAATTGGTTGTGTTCTGCTTAGAGAATAGTGGAGAATTTTTTAATCCTCAAGTTTTAAAATTAGTGACAAAGTCCTTAAAAGAGGATGTCAGGTCTAAGTTAATAAAATAAGCACATGCAGTACGAGGCCCAAAATCAACAAATCCCCAGGCAATTTTTTATATTGTAGTTCTCTAAAGTACAGCAAAAAACACTTTTGCAGTCTTTCCAATCAGCACTCCAGTTTCTATTGACAAACTTGGTAGCTTGATAAGATGATAATTTCAAAACAAAATTCAAGTTTACATTTCAATTTTTAAATCATCAATCAATCAATGATGGATGGAATCTTACCTAATTCTTCACTGCAATGAGAACACCTTTTTCGACCACTAACAGACAACATTTGCTCTGGTCTTTCTAAAGGTACCACTCTTGACGGTTTGGCAGGGGGTACATCAGTAGAATAGGCTCCAAGAGCTTTATCGGAAGTAACAGGTGGTGGATATTTCTTTACTGGCATGATAGAATGTCCATAATTCCACGTCTTCTCATGAACAGGATTATTTAACTGTACACCGGGTGGAAGAACTGGGGCCATGTGAGTGACACTGCAAACAGCATCTTCTGCAAGATGTGTTTGAGAGTTTGGGAACTGAGATGCACGCTGTCGTTCTTTCAGTTCCGTAATTCTTCGCATTTCAGCTTCCTGAATGAGCCAGTGGTTCTGATTGTATTTGTTCTCTGTTAGAGGGTCTTGTTTTTTAACAGAAGGCATCTGTAAAACGTTAGAAAATGAAGTCATTAAAAACAAAACTTTAAATAAAGCAACAATTTATAATGGAGTAACTGCTTAGTTTAATTAATACATAAATAAACACTATCAATAAAAATAAATATGATATACTACATTGCTTCATAAATTTTTCTTGATTATAAAAATTTACGTCACATAAAGCAGAATTAAAACCAAAACTCAACAAACTTAATAAATGTTTAGAATTATTAGATCCAAACTTTCAATAATACTAATAATAAACATTCTCAGTATACTTGTGTTTATATGATTGGTGATTTTAAATTATAAGTAAAATTGGCCAGATATATTAATTTAAATATGTAATATCAATTGAGATAGAGAGGCGTAAGAAAAAAAAGTACAGCAATTAAAAACACTTTATGTATTCTCCACATAAAATTACTTCATTGATATTTTTAAAACCTCATTCAAAATCTCTGGACCTATTGCAACAGTTGAATTTAGTTATAAAAAAGTTGAGCTATATAACTCATCAATGATGAATCTGGATTTTTTAATAATATCTTGTACATTATTATTAATGTTGAGGAAATGGCATGGATAAAAATTGTTTTATTTGAAAAAGTAAAAAATCTGTCAATAAGACACACCATGCAAAATCACAAATTATGTGAGAGTCCAAGAAAAAAAAATTATTCCTAAAATTGTACTTACTAAAAGATTTCCTGTATGAAGTAAATAACGAAACAAATCATGTTTTTCAATCAGGTAGCAATCAGTTTACAATCATGATTTATTTGTTAACAAACAGTGTATGTGCATTCAATCACTCAATTCCAATTACAAATAAGACATACAGCATACCATTTAAATGATTATAAAAAAATAATAATATTTTTCCTGCAACTTTGACAACTTGTATCTTTTTTTTTTTGTGTGCATATAGTGGCATTCAGTTTGTCTAAATTCATGTGAACTATTGTTGCCCGATGAACAAAGCAGACACTCTTGTATTTATTTGCATACAGTCTGGCAAGAAAAATAATGATCGAAAGTCAAACTTAACATGTTCGTATTCGAGCAATCCATGTCAATTTTATGAAAATATGATAATTAAATAATGTGATACCAGTGCTAGATGGGGATATAAATCTGAATTACTAATAAAAGTGAATAATTGTTAGAGTAGAACCCAGAACTATAAATTTCTAGTAGCCCATTTTAAAATTCTCTAAAACAAAATTGACAATTCTGATTTTGTACAAGGTGTGTAAGATTTCCTAATCATATTACAGTTTCGAAATAAATACTTATAATTTTGAGAAAAACATTTCCAATCAAGTTAGATACAAAACATACTTTTTGATATAATAGTTTGAAATTTTTAAAAAAAAATTGGAGTTATAAGTTATTATTTTATAAAATGAATACTGAAGAGAAAAAAAGCTTTGATATACTCCTTAACAAATATAATAAAAGAGCCTTCAACTTTGTTCTAGCTAAAATAATATGAAGCTGAATTGAATAAACAAGCCTAGATTTAATAGCAATCAAAGTACGGTTATTTTTTGAAGTTTTCTTTAAAAAAAAATATTAAAATAAACTAATTATGCATCAGATTAAAGGAAGGGAAGTAAAACAAACCTTTTGTTGGCTGCGCAATTCACTTTTTATAGTTTTCTTTGGAGGAGGTATTGGCTTATTACGTTTACTGACAGTCTGCTGCACAGGCTCAGCTAAACAAAAAAACAATATGAAATAGGTATTAAATATTTTTTACGTTTAATCAAACAAACTTATGTTATTTTATTATAAGATTTTATGCAAACAAAAGCTAATGTATTTGCTAAAAAATTTTCAAGTTTTTTTTTCCCAATTAACATAATTATATTTACTCATTTTACTATCTAAATATTTACATTACTCAAATGATGCAGAAACTTTCTTTATAAAGTGCTAAAAATTTGTTTTAAGATCAAAGAAAACTTAAATATTTACTAGAAAACTTTTAACTGTTAAAAAGTTTTCTAATGCACATTTTTTAGATTTATGTAATTATATCTTTATCTTTGGAAAATCTGAAATTTTTAATTATCTTAAAATACGCCTAAATACTGACTTAGACATAAATCAACTCTTTATATAATTTTATAAGGATATAATGGTGTTAAATATTCAGACAATGAATCTGGACTCAAATCATCATCACAAAACTTTCTAAAAAAAAAAAAAAGCTTTTTGGTTCAGCAATCAAAGTTTCAAAAATGTTTTAGCAGTTACATAGTAATGAATTAAAACACTTAAATATTTTTTTCAACAATTAAATGAAGAGAAGTTCTAAAAGTAGTGTAAACATGAGGAGGAAAAAAAGGTTAATAAATCTCATAAAAAATTTTTTTATTTCAAACAATTAAAAAATTTGTGAAAATTTTTTTGGAAACTTTAAAAAAAGCGAAAGAGAGAACGACATTCATTGGGGAAAAAAAATCCTAGCAACATAGTTAACAATCCACTTTCTTATAATCTCGCAAAAAAATTGAACAGAAACCAAATTAATTGTTAGAGACATCGGATTATAAAAAAAATAATTTTTTTAAAAATAAACAATAGAAATTAAAGATTTGTATGCAGGAATGGATTACCCATTAGGGCAGACTATGCCGGTCTGGGGCCCCCAATGATTAGGGGCTCTCTTAAAATGGATTTTTTGCAAATAAATTTTAAAAAATTAAGAAAAACAATAATTTTTCAAAATTTTATGATTAATTTTTAGTTCTAATTTAATAAAATAAAATAAAATTTAATTCATTATTATTTATTTTAATTTTAAATATGTTTTCTTAAATGAAAAGATATACAAAAACTTTTATATTTGAATAAATAAAAAATACACGAGAAAAAAATTTAATCTAAGGGCCCCAAAAATTTGAATGGCCTAGGGCCCCGATACACTTAATTCGTCCCTGTTGCTCCTGCTGCAGTTCCATATTGCTGGCTATTATTTTTTAAACAATTATTTCCCAATAAGCATTTAATTAACACAATAAATGGAGGTTTTGATTTTCATAAAAGAGCAAAATTATTTATGACTAGACCAAGTGCCAATTTTATATTTTCAGACATAGTACTGAAAATGTTATGTAAAGAATTACAATAATTTGTTTTCAATCAACAGTTTTTCTCTCTCTTGGAATACATTAGCAGGACAAGTTTTACATGTCAATTTATTACTTTTAAATGACCATTGATGGAAAAAAAAAACTGGAACTTGGTTTAGGAATGGACAAAACATGTAGAATACTAATAAATAAACTCACCACATTTGCTGCCATTTTGAGTGCTTGGATAAATTCGACTAGTTATGGCAGTATTTTCTCTGGCACTGGGCTGAGCACTATTAGGGGATGTTAGTTGGGGAGTATAAGCAGGCTTTATTAATGAAGGAAGAGGACCTATTCGGGACACAGGAGCTTCATGAGCTGTAAAGGGTAAGGAAGGATAAAACAAATTTAATTATATTCTTCAATTACCTATATTAGAAACTAAATTACAATAAGTTCATTAAAACTATACACACACTTCAAAATAAAACACAAACCATGTTATTAATACAAAAAACCAAACATTTGTGCCCACAAAGTTACCTTTATGAAATAAATTAGTAGATATTCTTCATTATAATTTATTTAAATAAATTTAATACGATAAAAATTGGAGAATAAATTTTGAAAATTATTATTGATATCAAAATATCTGAACTTATTTCCAAAAATGTGTAAAAGATGTTTGAATTTTCCTCAATAAATTTAAACACATTGCAGACTCATAAATTAAAGGGAAGAAGTAATTGTCTTCCTAGACTTTAAGGGCACAAATGTAAAATTAAACATATTTGCTACTTTCTGACTACCAGAAACAAATTAAAAATAGATTTTAACTTTATTTGCTGGCAAAAATCAATCTAAATATATAATATTAAATCCATTAAATAATTATTCAATTCATGATGTTTAGGAAATTTCTTTTTGTGCAAAAAAAAAAATTATAATCCACAAAAATTTGAAATACTTTTAAAAAATCAGTAATTTTTAAGGTATTTAGGCAATTAAAAATGTTCAGCATATCCATTCAGTGTGTTTAAAAATTCATTCATATTATATCTACCTTATAGATCATATATAACTTCTGCATTCAAAACAAGGTTAGTTGGAATAAAGGAAAAAATTAACAATACATTAGTTTTATTAAAAAACAAAAAATTTTAAGTTAATGAATCATCATATTAGCAATAACAATTAGCTTGAAAACAAAAACTTGCATTTGGAACTAGGAGGACAAAAAAAAAAATCTTTAACAAAAAACTTCTACAACTATTAATTAATAGATTAATGTCATTATCAAATATTCATTATCTGACTTTCATTGCCAAGTACATAACACATGATACTATTTTCTCTTATGTATTATTAATTATGTAAGGATTTTTAATAATCAAGTGTGTTAAACCTCTAAAAATAGTTTTACATGGTTGGTACTACACAACATTCCATTTCAAAAGAAAACAAAAATGAGTTTATCATGGAAAAATTCCACAATACATATTTTTCAATGCAATTATTAAAAGCATAACTTATTCATCAAAAGTAGTTCAAACTAAAAATACTGTAAAAAAATGTACTAAAAAAAGGGAGATTATATCAATGCAAACACCTAAAAAAAGGACCGTTCCAGCAGCCAATAAAAACATATCATGCACGTACAAAGCAAACATGAAATATCAGAATCTATTATCATGAGTTAAAAAGGTAAAATAGAGATATAGGAATGGTTGCTAGTGCTACAGCAACAGCACAAAACCCCCTGATTCGTATACCATTGATATTCTGATGAGTTTTCAGAAGTTCTTCCTCTTCTTTTAATTTTCTTCTGTGCTCTTCTCGCTCACGAACTAAAGCTTCCTGCTCTTGTCGTAACCTTTCTCTTTCTTTGCGTATAGCCTCCTATTAAAACAAAAAAATTACATTAGTATTTCATGACAGTTCTATTATGAATTACTTTTTACTAAAATGAAAAAAAAAATAGTAACTGTGATTTTATACAGAGTATTTGTAACTTAAATTATACTATATGTATAATATTTGAATTTTAAAATGCAAATGAGATACGCTCATAAATGACTAAAACTTAATAACTGATCGAGTATTTAACATTTGAATAAGTTTGTATAAAATTATCTCCTTAATACGCAATTTTCTTATTGAAAAACAAGGTGGAATACTGATTTTTTGGGGGGGAGGGGGGAAGCAGCAGGAAAAGGAAATCTCTGGGTGTTAAAAATTCTCAAGTCTGTTAAATGGTTAGCGTTTCCAAAATTAAGTAGCATTGCTTTTATGCACCTATTGTATTTGATCTATATTGACATCATTTAGCTTGATGTGTTTACTGTTTCTAGCATTGGCTAATTGTGAGCATAATATTTCGCATTTTTATCCTATTTGATCACCTCATTTATCTTGATGATAATTCGATCTACCTAATTTATTTTTAGCTTCTACTGAGTTGAAAAGGTTATAGAAATATTAAAGTATATTTCACAAAATCGCAAGCCAACAATTTCTAGTGAATATACTTTATTTCAAAATATAATTTTAAGATAATTAACCTACAATAGAAAAGTTTCCACATTTCCAATTACTTTAGAAGTAAAAAAATCAAAATGTGCTAAATCAAGACCTAAATAAGCATTTTATTTTGTAAATAAGGTACCCGTGTTACTTTTTTTAATATACTGTATGTATAAACAACTAAAAAAATATTTTAACTTCAAATTCGCCAGAAGTATTCCCTAACATTAGAACTTTGTCACATATTAAAGATCAAAACTTCTAAATAACGTTTTTTTTTGTTTTTTTGATTAATAATATCACCTTGCAAAATATGATTTAAGACAGCCATGAACTATCCAAACAGAAGTAGAGTTAACTTCTAAAATTTTAAGCGTTATCTGTTTTATATTACAAGATGTGGTATTTTATGAATGCTGTTTTTGTAGTGAAGGTGAAAGCTTAAGGTTTATTTGCATTCAAAACACTATCCACAGAAGCATACAATATACATTTTAAACTCTAAATAAGCTGCAAAAAACAAATATATTAGGACAAAATAAAAATACTGATTACAGCGTGCCCAATAAAATGTTAATAAAATATAAATTACCTAAAAAATTGATTGCATTCAGATAGTTCAGAAATATTTTATGCAACATTCTTATCCAACTCACTGATTAGATTCTTAATTAAAATTAAATTTTAAATGCCACTAAATTTTGAAGTTTTTTTTAAGAGCCTATAGAATAAACAACTTTTTTAATGGAATGATACTGTATGCAAAAGCCTTAAAAGCATGGGAATACTATCTTCCTATTTTGCTCGCTTAAATGTTTTATGGAGAAAGTAAATCAGATAGTTTACTTATAAATAATGAAATGAAACAAAAAGTCCATAATATTTTTAAAGCTCCTATGTACAACATAAATTTAATAATTAGTAATTTAAATCAGAATTGTTCAATGCAAAATGATGCTTAAAAATTTATAACTAAATTTACAAGTGAATTTTATTATAGGTGTAAATTTTAAAAACATTAAAAAGTATTAAAAATATTAAGTTTAAAAATTATAAAGCTTTAACATTCTAAATTATAAATTACAACCACCATTTTTTTCCTCCAGATTACACCCAATGTATACATATTATAGCTGATGTGTATATATGTTATAGCTATTTGAAGGTATAAGCACGATAATTAAGAATATTTTTCTCTTTTCTGGGTAAGAAATTATTAAAGTGAAATTTTATTGAATCAGAATGTGGAAATATGGTAATTACAAGGTAAATAAAGTTATCCTAATTAATTTCTCATTAACTCTGTTTCTCTTTTGTGTCCATCTTCTTCATTTCAGCAATTTACATCAAAAAGAAATTTTACAAATAGTACATGACTTACATGTTACCTATAATCTCCTGATGTGTGAATAATAACTATCTATTCACAAATGTGCTATAGGTGTAATTATCAGACTGTTACAATTACTATTAATTTTAAAAATTTTACTTAACTTTTTTTGTCCTTTTTACAATTCTTTTTTTTTTCTTCTTAATTCACATTTTGTATACTGATATAGTAAAATTTCTAATTTATTATAATTTCTATTGCTTATAATATTTACTTCTAGTAATCTAAGGGACAAAAGGAAGAGTTATATTCATTAATATAACTCTTCTTAAGAATTGAAATTTCTATTTATTAATATTTCATTTAACTTATCTGTAACATTATCTTTATAAGGTAATGTTAATATATAAGTCGACAAATTATTCTGGTATTGTATATATATATATATATTGTAATATTGCAACTGTTTAGATAAAGCAAATATTACTTACATTTCAAAAATGCTTTATAAGAAGTATTTTTTACTTATTAAAAAGTTGGATCATCTTTGATTTAAAAAACAGAAAAGCCAATTCTGGAACAAAATATTCTACATTTTTTACGCAAAATAATAGCACAAAAATTAAGCTTCATTTAAGTATATCTTTAAATAACAAGTTCTCATGCTTTGTGTTGAATTTAAATGTTTCCAGCAAGAATGATTTAACATATTCATTTAACTAGATATAAAAAATCAATAATTCAAATGGGAGACATATTTTAGAACTTTAATGATAGGCTATGCAAAATGTGTTTTGTCTGTTTTTAAATGATTAATAGCTTTTCCTATCAACATTTTAGTCATTCTGAAAATATTTTCTATTTATTAAAGTTGAATTTTTATGTTTATTTAAAGAAATACATATCTTTTATAAAAAAGAATGCCACAGTATAAAATTGACTAACTACTGATAGGAGAAAAAAAACTAATTTATTCTACAAAACAGCATGCAAATGCTATGGCAATAAATGAGGTAAGTATTTAGAATTTGAGCACTATCACACTATTAAAANTAAGAATATTTTTCTTTTTTCCGGGTAAGAAATTATTAAAGTGAAATTTTATTGAATCAGAATGTGGAAATATGGTAAATACAAGATAAATAAAGTTATCCTAATTAATTTCTCATTACTGTTTCTCTTTTGTGTCCATCTTCTTCATTTCAGCAATTTACATCAAAAAGAAAATTTATAAATAGTACATGACTTACATGTCACACCAATAATCTCCTGATGTGTGAATAATAACTATCGATTCACAAATGAGCTATAGGTGTAATTATCAGATTTTACAATTCTTTTTTTTTTCTTAAATCACATTTTGTGTACTGATATAGTAAAATTTCTAATTTATTATAATTTCGATTGCTTATAATATTTATTTCTAGTATTTAATTCATTAATATAACTCTTCTTAAGAATTGAAATTTTCATTCAATAATATTTTATTTAACTTATCGGTAACATTATCTTTATAAAGTAATGTTAATATATAAGTCGACAAATTATTCTGGAATTGTATATATATATATTGTAATATTGTATGAATGGCAGCAAACCTTACATACTGTTTAGATAAATCAAATATTATTTACATTTCAAAAATGCTTAATAAGAAGTATTTTTTACTTATTAAAAAGTTGGATCATCTTTGATTTAAAAAAAAGAAAAAGAAATGTTGATTCTTGAACAAAATGTTCTGCATTTTTTACACAAAATAATAGCACAAAAATTAAGCTTCATTTAAGTATATCTTTAAATAACAAGTTCTCATGCTTTGTGTTAAGTTTAAATATTTCCATCAAGAATGATTTGACATATTCATTTAACTAGATATAAAAAATCAATAATTCAAATGGGAGACATATCTTAGCACTTTAATGATAGGCTATGCAAAATATGTTTTGTCATTTTTTAAATGATTAATAGCTTTTCCTATCAACATTCTAATCATTTTGAAAATATTTTCTACTTATTAAAGTTGAATTTTGATGTTTATTTAAAGAAATACATATCTTTCATAAAAAAAGAATGCCACAGTATAAAATTGACTAACTACTGATAGGAGAAAAAAAAACTAATTTATTCTACAAAACAGCATGCAAATGCTATGGCAATAAATGAGGTAAGTATTTAGAATTTGAGCACTATCACACTAAAAAAAAAATACTCTTAAAATTCATCGCTAAGGAAAAAAAAACTAGATAACCAATGATTCTTACCATCTATTCATGCATTTTCTCATAGCATTATGTTATTTAGCAATACCTACCTACAGCAAATGCTTTAGAAAGAGATAAAAGAAGTAAAATGGCGAAAAGATGGAAAAAAAGCATTTTTTTCCGTGCATTTTCAAAAGTACAGAACCCAAAAAGAGAGTAAGCATAGATTAGAAAAATAGATCATGCATTTGCAAGAAAAAGAACATCACCTTCTTTTTTAAAGGCTTTGGAGGAACAATCGGCCTATTAACAGTAACAGGTTCTTCCAAAGAGGTACTCTTGGTTTGATCATTAGGTGCTGAAACTGTTTTAATAGTTTCACCATCACCACCAACGTTTAACTTTGTTTCAGAAGGAGAGGAAACAATGTTTGTAGCATTAGAAATAATTGCAGTATCAAAAAGCAAAGGTGCAGAGAATTCAGCAGAAGTAGACTTATTAGCCTGCAGAGAAAAATATATTATTTATGTAATGAAAAGCATATAAATAAAGAGCCGTTTAAATACTATCCAAGCATACAGAGTGATTTTGAATTTACTTATTCTTATTGACAGAGGGGAAATCATCAAAAATATGCTTACACAATATTTGAACAGCACTTAATGAAATAACATTGTTCATGAAATACTATAAAAAAGTTAAAAAAATATAGCTTGTTTAGTTAAAAAAAAAAAACTAAAACTATTTAATAAAAAATTACTTCAGGAAATATGAAGGTTTAAGAGAAATATCTATGGTTCATAAGAGGGTGAAATAAAATATGGCCTATTTACTACTAAGTTAAACAAATAGTTCAACAAATAGTTATAAATCTTTTTATTTATTTTGCATAAATTAAGTTTAATTATCGTTAGGTATTCTTCTACTAATTTTAATAAAGTATACTCAGGCATTTTTTTTTAAATTAAGAAAAAAATAAAATAACTGACACATTTTACTTATCAGCTATCAGGGATATCATAAATTCCTCTCTTTTCATTAATTATTAAATTTATATGAATAAAATGTAACATTATCAGGATTTAAAGAAGCGTAAAACAATATAATTATCTCTCTTTTCCATAGAAAAGAGTTCTTTCTTTCAAAAGCATTATAAGTTATTTTTAGAAATGTATAAATTTGGTTTATTCTTAAATGATAATTGATTTGATAAAATTTATCCAATTTATGATTTATAATATAATTTATTTGATAATATTTACAGATTCCTTATAGAACTACTATTCCCATACTTCAAAAACAATATTTTTGGTAATGTATTAATGCTTATAAAAAATATGTTTCTTTTTAAATGATTACTATTCTGGTGATTCCTATTTGTGTTTTAGACAAATGAATTTAAAACAAATTGATTTCTAAATAAAGTCACAAACTAAATTGCTTCAAAGCTATATCGTAATGAAAGCTAATTATTTGGTACTAATGATATTTTTCTTTTGTTTAATACTCCTGTATATTAAATTTTTTACTATTTTACAGTACAACTTAAATGAAATACAGATATTAAATGCAGATAGACTACAGCAAAACAAATAACTTACTTTATTAAAAAGGAGTTTCGTTTAGATAATTTTTAAAAAATCTTTAAATTAATTAAAAATAGTTGATACTGAAGATTTAATTACAGGGACATTTGATGTTCATTTACAGTAAACGCAAGGGTTCCTTCACTTTACAAGTTAAAACATAAATAACCCTATGTATAATTGCTCCATTTTTCATAAGCTTCAAATTTTAATTAGTATTTCAATCTTACTTTCAAATTCAATTAGTATCTTAATAAATTTGATTTGATTCTGGATTTAAAATAAATCTGTAAAGCTGAGGGTCCCATAAAGTTAATTTTAATTGGAACTTCTTCTAGAGAAGTATAATTTATAAAGAAAACATATGTATTTGAGGAATAATGAAAAACTTAAAAATGTAATTCGATTTACAAATTAAATACAAGACTGCAAAGAGAATTAAATGACAATTTATGGATCAAAACCATTTTCTTAAGAAAAACTCAACCTGATATAAAAGTATTAAGATAACTCACTTCCTGTTTCCGAATCATTTCTTCTCTGTCTTTCAGCTGTTTTTCTTCAATTAACCTCAATCTTTGTTCTTCTGACAATATTCGCTCTTTTTCCATTCTTTTCCTCTCCTCCTTTAAAATTTCTATGCGATCTTCTTCTTCTTTCATAATGTCACACACCTCTGTACAATCAGATTTTATGTCATTCAATTCTGAAAAGGAAACAGTTTGATACATGTAAACACTAAACAATATATATAAGCAGTTCTAAGAAAGAAATTAAATTATAAATTACAAAAATCCCATCTTTCATTCAATAATTTTAAGTTGATAATAAATATTTAAAAAAAAGTAGAATATCATTTTATTAGAATTGCAATTAACTGGGTTGATCACTGTTTTTTGATTACTAGACACAAATGCTATCAATTTCTATGAAAAAGATAGTAAATGACATAGAAAACCAAAATAACATTAAAAGAATGAAATAAAGTCTGATCATCTTGCAGAAATTTTAATGAATTAAAGTAATAGTAAAGGCATATTAATCAAATTCATTTAAATTGCATAACTTCCTTGCGTTACATAATTGAGGTTCTTAACTTACGAAGGATATCCTCATTAATATTAAAAATAATAATACAGCGAAATCTCTAGGAGAGACAACCTCTACGTAACAACCTCCTCTATTTATGACCATTTTTGGAAGGTACAGAGTTTTGTCCATAGACTTTGTGTTGAAGGAAACCTTTAGGAAAGACCATTAAAATCTCTCCCAGCGACTGGACAATGCTTCACATCAAATGGAGAAAAGGTCCATTAAGAAAACACACTAATTTTTAAAACAAAACAAATAAATTGATTAAAATGTATTCAAAATATCTGTGCGAAACTCTGATTCAGAGCGTTCTTTATGACAACTTCTGAAAGAGATCTACAACCTCATGTTGCAGTCAGAGTGCACTAAGAACAATGCTATCAATGATTCAATTTTAGAGTTGAAAGTTAAATTAGGGAAAAAAAACTATTTCAGAAGAAAACTAAGCATCTCAAAAAAATTATAATTTTTATAATATAAAATTAAACGTGAACTTAAACAAAAAGCGTAATTGTTTAGTTATTTAAAAATAGTTCCATCTTTCATAATTGGTTAATTTGTTTTTACACATAATTATAACAGTACGGATCATTTTCATTAATTCTAAATTATTCATCGATTCGGTTTTCACGACGCTAACACACGACATTTCCACACCAAGAAAATGACCTTGACTAAAATTAAAGTCGTTTGCGAAAAATCATGTACCTTCAATAACAATATTTAAGTCAATGGAGGTAACCCCTAATAACGACCAACCTCCATTAACAACTATTTAACTGTGAAACGAAACAGAGAGTTGTCACTACCAAGAGGTTTCACTATATGCAACAACAAAAATTCAAACAAAATTTAAAAGTATATGCGAACTAACCATCACAATTTATAATCAGCTGCTTCTGTCTTTCTTCAGATTCTAAAGAATCAATAATTTCTTGCTCTCTTTTACGAATTTCATTTTCTTCTAAAATTAATCTTTCTGTTGTAGCGCTTTCGAGTCTCCTCCTACTTTCTCGATCCAATTCCATTTCAGCTTTCAGAATTTGTTCCAAACCAGGAGGAGGAGGAATTGAAAATTCATCTTTAAAAATAAATATAATATATTTACTAAATATATTTATTTTACTAAATATAATATATTTAGTAAAATAAGAAATACTGATTTAAAATCTTTATCATATATGAAATATGTAATATTATCTAGAAAGGTATAAAATTCATACCACAAACAGAATTTCCATCATTTTCAATACCTAGGAAATTTGAACGTCGCTTGCACAGTTCCTTCTTAATGCGTTTAGTAGAGTTTACTCTTTTTAACGATGTAGACTGGAAAATAAAATATCAATTACTTAATTACAACATGAATTTGAATTTTTGCTCTTAAAATGAGTTTAAATACAGAAAGGAACAGATTAAATAAATTTTAAATAGACTAAATAAATAACTGAAATTAAGAACAAGATAATAAAGCTGTTTAAGGTTAGAAAAAGATATGAGTAAATAGCACAGAATGCAGTTTATGTAACAATTTATAAACATGACTTTTTTTAAACAAAAAAAGTATAGCATGACTAATATACTGAACAACTGTGTAAATATCATATAAGTCCTTCTAAACGTTATTGTGAAAATTTCTGGCATAAAAGTCTTGAAAACCAAACAATTATTAAAATTTAAAGAAAAAACACTTTCATGAAAGTTGAAAATTAAGTTTAGAAAAATCCAACATAGGGACTTTATGATCAAGAAAAGATCATTCATAACAGTTTTAAATAGCATAGAAATTGCTGTAGTCTTACTAACCATAATAATACTTATTCATTATGATAAAATAGAATAATTTTGTTTTTAAATTTAGATTTACAGAGGAACTAAACACATTTATATTACTGTCCAATAATATTTAAGAACATTTCTGACCAGTGTGATCAACTACTCAGAGAAGAAACCTTGAGCGTCAACAAACCTTTGGAATTTCATTTTCAGAAGAGGGTGGGGGTGGTGGCTTTTCTTTGGGTGGCTCAGCAGAACGAGATCTGAAGACTAAAGCATGTTCTTGAAATTCATTACCGTTTTCTGATGTCATCTACCAAGAAAATTCCACAAAATTTTACTTATTTTTTCACTGTAAATAAGGCAAAGAGTTAACCGATTGAAAAAGCAACTTACCTTCATTGACAATTCTTTAGCTTTTTCTTCTTCTTCAAGCTGCTGTAAAATTAATCTTTCCATTTCTTCAGCTACTTGTTCTACAGGAGGAACATCTTTAAGAACATTTTGATTTTTGGTTTGAAAGTCCAATTTTGTTGGATCAGAAAGACTGGAATTACTTCCCTTAACATTGTGAGTTTGAAAAACTATATTTAAGTCATCCTCTTTATTGGTTACACCCGCTTTTCCATTTTCTTTAATTGCATTTGTAGAGGTTTTTTTCTGAAATGAAAAATACTTTTAATAGATTAAAAAAAAAAAAAAATCCAGCTTTCTAGAAACTACTACAACAAATATATAGAATTTAAAAATATCTGGAAGCACATCAATATAGCATGAAAATGTTTTTAAAAGAAAGCACAGCAAAACTAATAAATACCCACAGCAAAAAAAGAAAAATACATGCAACGAACTATTATTTTCTTTAAATTATCATGCAATAATCAAACGTTGCATAGAGCCTTAAATTATCACCTTCTTTGCATTTTTATTTTTGGGTTTCTTTATTTTAACTACTACATTTGTATTTTCCTCTTCAGTATCTAATACAGTTCTAACAGAAGTTTCACTAAGAGATTCACTTGCGATTGAAATTTCTGATTCAGGAACACAGCTCAATGATGGAAACGGTGGATTTAAAGTTGAATTTTTACTTTCTAACAAATCTGTTGCTTCGTCATTCACTTCATCGATAGTCTGTACCATAGTTGCAACTTTGATTGCAAATAAGTCAGTTTGAGTAATTGGTGATTGAGAAGAAATATTTTTATCTGCCTGTTGTGAAAAATAAGCAAATGCTAAACTAAATATGGAACATGTAGAAGAAAAAATAAATAAATAAAAATGTTATAACATATTACAGACAAGACTGATTTAAATCATTTTCAAAGACCATGAAATAATCATAAAATATTTTCATTCATAAGCACAGCTTGTATCATAAATAGCCAACTAAGTGTTGAAGTAAAAGGTTAGTCTGGAACTCAAATCTTAAAAAAGTTAAGTCTTTACAGCATTGTTTAATACTTCATGTGAATTATTAAAATGTCTAATGAAATAATTTGAATATGATTTATACCACTAAACTTTATAAAAACACAAAGAAGCAAACAAACAAAATAAATAACTTAAAAGTTATAATTTCACTTAAAGGCACCACTATTTACAATCCAGTTAAATATTTAAAATAACAATCTGAAAAAATAATATTAATTCAAAAGCATATACTGTTTACAAACAGTGCACAATTTTAGTACTTAGGGTATTGATTTGACTTTTTCAACTTTCTAAGTTAGAAAGGATCAAAAATGATAAAAAGAATAAATAAATAAAATAAATAAATGGGGAAAACAACCTTAATGCAAATTTAAATTTTATTCAATTTTAGAATAAAATAACTTCATGAATATTATAATTTCTTGAAAATTTTTTTGATAAGCATAGTTCTGTAACAATGATAATAACAATGTGTAATAAAAAAATTTTAAAATAAAAATGCAAATGTGGAAAAGTTTATTTAGCAGTTCTAATCAAATGAATTGAAAGTATGAAACACAAATGAGTTAACATTTTTGCCTAATTCTATTTAGAATACACTAGGTTGAAAACTAATTGCACTAAGCTTCAAATTATTTTAATAATTCAAAAACAAATTAAACTCACAAATAAAGTAAGTTTTCTTGAATAACTATCACTACCTTGCTTTGAGCATATATATATTCGTATCTCTCTTAGAATATTTTTCAAAAAAAACAAAAAACAAAAAAAAACAAAAAAATTCAGATATAAAACAAAGTAATAACAATAAAGCTCAGTATAAATTTAAGAATGTGATAGTAATAATATAATAATTTTGAATAATAATTCAAAAATGTAACAGCAAAATTGAATAGCTACAACTTTTTAATTAAAAACCAAATTCAAAAAACGTAAATAGTGCAATAATTTTCAAGGAATTAAAGGAATTGTAATCTGAAACAGAAAAGCTATTGAAAAAAATTCATCTAATTACCAATTTTAAGGAATTTGGAAAAGCAATCTTTTCATTGTTGTTAAGCTCAACAAAATCATCGACAAAAACTTCATTTTCGGACTCAATACTCCTTTCGTGTTTTCCATTGAAGCTTTCTATTTGATCACTGGAAGAAGATGACTGGCTAGCTGTACTAGAAAATACATCATTCATCTTGTTCAAGGAAGCATTAACTGGAGATTTATTTCCATTGCAAATACTAGAATCTGGAGACTCAAAATGGGAAACATCAAGACCTGAATAACAAATATAAGTATTCTTTAAAGCAACAAAGCTATAATAAAATTTGGGATTTTTTTGGCTAGTTAGTAAATTAAATTTCATTTTATTTATTATTATTAATTTTTGAACACAAAATAAGATGGCTGACACCAAAAAAAATCTATTTACTATGTCCAGCTAACTGAAAAATATTACTACAACTTTAAAAAAAAAAAAAATTATATAATGAAAATTTATGGTATTTTTCCCTTTGAAGTAGTAAACTGTTAATTATTAGAATAAATATTAATATTTTAAATAACACTGCAATACTATACAAGTCAGAAAAAGAAAAGAAAAAACCTTTAAAAATGCATAGCAATTCAATCGCAAGGAAGGGAAATGATCAAGTTATTTCTATTTTAATCATTGTACAGTAGAGAACCGATTATCCGGAACAGTCGGGACCATCGCTATTCCGAATAACTGATTTTTCCGGTTTTCTGAATCGCTACAAAAAGCCCTTTTTTTTATTGTTAAACCCAACTAAAAAATTAAAAAAATTTGGAAATAATCTTAAAAATAAGAAAAAACAATGAAGTAATACACTAATGATTATTTCCAAAATGATGGTAAAGTAAACATCTTTAAAAAAAAGAAAGAAAAATAGTAAAATCTTATGAGGAAAATTTTTTTTTTGAAAATGACGAGAAAATTTATCGAATTTGTTCCGGTTTTTTGGTTTTCCGATTTCCGGATAACGGGTTCTGCACTGTACATGTATCTGAATTTTGATTCATATCTTTTGTGGTTTGTTTCATATGCTATAAACTAATAAAATTATTTAACTTAATTAAAATTTAACGAAAATTTTACTTGAAGTCAAAAAAGTTATGATATTTATTAAAATTACAAACTATATATATTAGCATTTTCGCTGATAACTTAAAAAATTAGTTATAAACATAATTTTTCATACGTATTACAATAAAAATATAGGGAGAAATAAATTTATCTTACTAACAAATTTAAAAAAACTGATGATATTACAAAACAATTACAATGACAATGAGAAATGCAATGTCCCAAACACATACCATCAGAAACAGAAGAAACTGTTTCATTTTTATCAGTCAGCAAATCATATTCACGCTCAACATTGTTATGATTAAAACAATCAGATGGCTTTGATTTAACACCAGCTTTCTGGAATGAAATTAAAAACTAAAATTACTATAAGATTATTTTTTTTTTTAACAAGAGAAGTAACAAGAACTAAAATAATTGTATTAAAAGATATTAGATACAATTTAAAACAGTTAATATTTTTGATAACACTAAAATTTTAGCTAACTATTTACAGTAATTATCCCACCAATATTCAATTTCATTTAACATATTTTATAATTTTTTTAAATGTGCTTGATTTGAAAAGCAAAATTAAGTTTAGATAGAAAAATAATGTGTATATTAGATATGCTTAGGTGAAAACAATATTTTCATTATTTGTATTTTAATCCAGGGCAAGAAATTTCCCTTCAAAAGATAGAAGTCAGACTAAAATTTTTGATAGACATTATTATGCATTAATGAAAAATATGAACAGTTTTTTAAAAATATTGACAGTTGTAATATGAAAAACTTTTCGGTGAAAGAATAGTGTTTAAAAAATGGTGGCTTCAAGTGTAAAGTTAGGGTAACTCAATATTTTTAGTTCCAATTAGAATAAGAATGGCATAGCTTGATTTCAAAATACTTTCTGGTGTCTCTGGAATGAGCCACAATGATCTAAGTATTTTAACTATGTAGCTATGGTAGAATGGTTTAATTTAAAACTTAACAATTTAGAAGAGGAAGCCTGCATTAAATAGTTGATCGTCAATGACGAGCAGAAATTCCATGCCCTGTCCTAATTCAATCGTAAGATCATATTAAATTAAAAACATTTTCATTCAGATTTATGTATTTGTTTTTAGATTGTAGTAAAAACCATGATATTAAAATTATTCTCAAAAAAATTTATTTTTGAAGCCAATATAAAACACTAATGGCAAGCAGAAATTTTGCCCCCTGTTTTAATTCAAATGCAAAATCATACCAAATTAGACATTTTCATTTAGATTTAAGTAATCATCTTTAGATTGAAATATAAAACTATAATATAAATATTATTCTCAAAACTTATTAGTTTTGGTGCCATTATTTAAATAGATGTTCACTTTATTTATTTCTCACGCTATATCAGACCAGTAAATAAGAAATTTTCGACAGATTGTTTTTTAGCTTGTTCATTGGCTGCTGTGGTTGATTTTAATTAGAGAAAAAGAAAACTTATTTCTATAAACCATCCCGATAAACCAACAATTTCTACATTTGCGAGGCACAGCCAATTTAAACTGAAAAGATGTATAATTATAAAGAATAAATAAACTAAAAGTAATAATTTAAAAATCAAAATAGAAATTAATAACTTATGAAACATACCTTAGTGGAAGCACTATGAGTATCATAGCTTTGTTGATTTTTCAAGTTAAATTCTTCCAACACATTGACTCCAATTAATCCAGAGGCTCTTGGTGAATCACAATCTAAGCAACTTCCACTATCTTGACTGAAATCGGAGCAGCTGTCTGGAGTGTCTCCGGCTCTATGACTGCTGCTAATACTTTCCAGTCCAGAATCAAAATAATTGCCATTACTATGATGTAAACCATTTCCATTCAACTCAAAGAACTTATGTTTAGAAGCAGAAGAATTATTATTTAAAATGCTTTCTGTGCTTTGTGACTTTTTATTCATGAAACTCCTATGCATCATTCCTTTAACACCAACCTATAGTAAATTAAATTAAATGCTAAGTAAGAAACTTAAAGATAAAAACAAACAAAAGAGTGAAAGAAAATATTTTCTATAATAACTGGATGCTACAACAACTGAAACATGAATCTTTCATTTAATTCAAACCTTTAAATTTTGGAGCATGCATTTTTTTTTTTTTTTTCTGTGTGGTACGGAATCCAGCAATAAAATAAGACATAAAATAAGCTTTAATATAAGCCAGGGTTGGGGGAAAGAAACAAAACCAGGTTTGTTTGGTTTAAATATTTTTTTTTCTTGGTTTACTTAAAACAAAATGTTAAGTGATATTTTAAATACCAAATTAAAAGTAATTAACCAAATTAACATTTCATAGACAACTTTTTACTATAGATGGATTTATATTTTGAATAAAGAATTGAAAAATATTTACTTCAGTTCCATAAATATGCAAATAAGATAAAATAATATTATAACTAAATATTCTATATAAGCTTATTTATTACTTAACTAATCCACGAACATGTAAATAAGCATTCAATATCTAAATGTTATTTTAGTAGTGTGTTTAAAATAGAAGTTTCTCTCTTGATGGTCAGAAAGAGCTTGACATTTATTTTAACATAATCGAGTTTATAACAGAACAATGTTTTTATTGACATATTGCAACATTAAGAAATATTAAAAATAAGTTTTGAATATTTTCCTTAAACAGTTTTTTTTTCTTTTTTTAAATATAGGTAGTATAAAAATAGTAATTTGAAATATTAGAACAACGAACATAAACATTCTGCATTAATACAATACAAATTTGTTGACCCAAAGTACAGAAAATAATTCTAAAAAGTGAAAAAAAGGAAATTTTAAAAAGCACCGTATTAATATTTATACTTTCGACTGCAGCAAACATTATGTATCTTCAACAAGTAAGTAAAAATTAAAGTTTGAGAAACTTTACTTCTTTCAATACACAATTTACTAATTTTAAAAACTAACAGAGCATGGAATTAGTGATGGTCTATTTTATTTTAAGCATGTTTGAAGAGTCCTTTTAATTTTAATTAAAATTTGCTTGCATTAATTTATTTTACATAGGTTTTTTTTTGTTGAAACACTAATTCCGTGCAAACATTTAAAAATTGCTGATTGTTTATTTAAAGTATACAAATGCCCATTATCAATTAAACACAAAATTGTAAAAAATTTGAGAAAACTTTATCACTTTTTCAATTGGCAATATTCAAACTGAAAAAAAAAAAAAAATTCCACATAAACAGTTGAAAATTAGCTTATTTAAGTTTTTTTTTTTTTTTTTTTTTTTTTTTAAAAAACTGTTTAGTTTTAAGTGTGGTTTAAACCAGCCAACCCTAATATAAGCTACTAATTTTTTACCAGCACATTCATTTTATGATTTGGTTTGAAATCTAGCAAGCAAATCGCTGTAAAATGCCAATATTTTTAGAAATTTTTTAGAATTATTGATAGCACAAATTTAAAGCAAAAGATTTAATATAAAAAAAGTTTAATTTTATACAGCATGATTCCAAAATGATAACTTGTTTATAAAAAAATTAATAAAAAAAAAACATCTCTTGTTGAAAAAAAAAAGGTAAATATCCAAGGATATTTTTCTTCTAAACCTTTTAATTCTTCAACTGAATATTGACTAGACCGTTACTTTTTATATTTAGAGCATTTTGTCATCACACCAAAAAGGTAACTATTTCAAATTTAGAAAGAATTCAACAAAAAATAAAATTTTCATCACTTTGTGAATAATTATCACTATTTAGTACTTTCTAACAATAAACTACTTGCAATGAAACATTGACTTAAAGAATAGCCAATGGTAGTTATTGAATATATCAAAAATTAGACGTAAGTTTTTAATTTTACATTTCAATTTCTAAAAACAAACTTGCTTTCGCATATTAGAATCAAGGAGAATAATTTCTACAAAAGAACAGACACATAAATTCGTAGAATTTCTGAGGACATTGACATAATAAAATTAATAAGGATTAACAGAATAAGATTTGCAGGGTATATATGGGTCATTCTCACAAAAACAGTCATTTTCATGTCCCCAGTATATTTCATGTTTGTTTTACAGCTTACGAAAAAAAAAAAATTCAGGGAAAGTGTCCTTCAGAATGCAAGCTAACAAAAGAATAAAAATAAAATTATCAATTTTTATTTTTTATTTATTTTAGGTAATTAAAATATACCAATATGTCATTCCCTCACTTGTCCCCACTGCTGATTTAAAAAAAGAAAAAAATTGTTTCTGAAATATAAATTTTTTTTTTACAAATTCGTGTTTTTTATTTCAGAATACTGAAATATAGAATTCAGAAAATCAATTTTAAATTTAATTTCTGATAAAAATATTAACACAGCACTATTTTAAAC